GAAGAAACTTACCAAAAGAGTTCAACGGTCTTTATAAATTAATAGCGTTGCACTAAGGTGACTTGAGTTCCAAAAGAAAATTACATGCATCTAAAATTGTGAGAATTTAGAGAGAAAGAAACTAGGAAAATAAAAGCACGAACGCGTGCATTGATTATTGTAGTATTGCGTAGGAGAAACTGTGAGAATGAGAAAAATATTGTGTAGTTTTCTCAATCTGTAAATTTTTCTCTTGCCGCATGTTTAATTTGTATGTTTTTCTCTTTCAGGCTTGTTTTTTAAATTTTTCGTTTCCGCTGGATTCGAAGGAATTTTTTCCAACGAGAGGCAGGCACAGGAAATGGGTATTAAAATCCAATTTATCTCTCGAAAAATCCTAGTGGGACGCGGGACGGGAGGGGTGCCACAGCTCCCTTTCCATACATAGAAATAGATTTGGGAGCAATCATCGATCTGTATTTTTCGTAATCACTATTTGGTGAAAATTAAAATTAGAATTTTAATCTAAATCAAAATCGACTATTAATTTTAATTACACATTTCATGGGTATCAAAACTTTGCAACCACACATTTCATCAACTTTTATCAAAATCTACTAAAAAAATTGATTTTAATAATCATCAAATAGGGGTATGATTGGTTATCGTTCATTAATAAACTCTATAATTTCATTGTTAAATAACATTTTGCTTCTAAATATGTTCTTATATGTTATTCTTTTTAATTTTAAGTTTTAGCATACTTGAAAACTATCTTTATCTTGGTGTCAAAATAAGTAGTCGCTTACTTTCAACTTTAACTAATAAATTATTTATTTATTTATTTTAAAATTTACTTATAAGTTAAAGCTTTGACAAACATCCCAATAAGAATGAAAAAGTTATTTTTTCAACTGATGAAAAAGTTGAAACTTTTCAAATCTTTATTTATTTATTTATTTTTTACAAGATGCGTTTGGTACTAAGATTGCAAAATGTGTCAATACATAATAATTTTGGTTCATTTGGACTTCATTTCCTGGAGTTTTGATTAAAGCTCTCAAAGTCAGTCCATTTTTGAAGGAAACTACAAGTTGATCAATTAATATGGCCTATTATATTTTTGGATCTAATAGTGTCTGATCCCTCTTGGCACACTTCTTTTGGACATTGTCGACTATGTCAAATGGATAATGTGTTCATAAACAATTAATGGATATCGTTTCC